TAGGCTACTATAGCCTATTAGTCTATAATTATTGAAAATAAACAGTGTAATATGTGAGCCACCGTAAGATTAGGGTATCTAAAGTATAAAAGCTAAAGTTATCTCTCAACGGTCAATGTTTACAGAAAAGCACTTTGCCGATCATTTTGTATGAACTCGAAATATTACTTACATTGTCTTTGGTTTGATGAAAATGCCCATCAGTGAACACATTTTTATTCGGAATATTTTTTACAGTGGAGACTTTTAGTCCGAAATGTGGGTCATTTCCACTTATAATTTCTGAGAGGGAGGTAGGCCCTATAACTATTGCAAATACAAAATAATCCGAACGTACATTTCTAAATTTAAGAACATGCACAATAAACAATATAACCTAACATTGAATGAAGCATACAAAACTGCTTTAATAAATTTAGCGGTGTTTTGAAGCTCGAAATTGTATGATTAACTCCCTTTAAAATGCTCTTTAGTAATAGGAGGGTTGTTTAGTCGTTCTTATCGAAGGGAAGTTACTCAGAAAGCAACAAAATAAAAATAAAAAATCACAGGAAAATTGGTCATATTACTAAAATAATATCTTCTTTGATCTATTTTGTTTTATTAGTTGACTAGATAGATGGGGTATGATTAAATAACTATGCAGCTATGGCTTCCGATCTTCCAACAGACTTTGACTTCATAGTTCTTGGAACAGGTAAGCTTCTCAATAAATATTTTGCCCCCATTCTATTTTACTTCAGTTCAGTAACCTATCAGTGAGTAATTTTCTGTATCTTTCACACATAGACTTATTCAAGATAACATTATACAGAAATATACTAGGGTCAATTCAAGTGAATTGTTTTGCGATTTCACTTTTGTTGTAGCCTAGGCTTACAGTGGTGTAACCTATATTCGTGCATGTGGATTCAACACAAAATTTCGTCAAAAATAAAAAATAGAAAATTTTTTTGTTATTTCTTAGATGTTTCTCCGAATATTCCTTGAAATGATTAAAATTATTTCATGAGTAACTCGACAACGGCTGCAAAATGCGTTTTTTCGTGTTCAATGTGTATTTAATCTATAAATAAGTCAAGAAAAACACGTTGTATAGAAACCCAATGGTATAAATATCATTTCTTAGTATTTATCTTTAATATCAATTAATTATAACTTATCATAATTCCTTCAAAGAACAATGATTTGAAAAAAAAAATAGTCGCTTACAAAATAAGATAGACAAAACGTAGGAGTAATTTATTGCTAAAATTCATTGAAACAACATAAGAATATGACCTACATTGTGTTCCATAGAATTTTTCTGCTGACATGGAATTTGCAAGTTTGTCACTTGACTCTGTTCACTGGAATATATAATAGCAGAGCACACTTGAAATTTCGATTACAGCTTGGGATTATAAGGAAATTCGGCCGATGAAAAATTGGGTTACTTGACTGTACTATGAAAGTACATCAGAATTTAATGTCAGTTATGTGTTCTGCTCAACAAAGGACTGGGTCATATGAATTATGAAGAAATCATATAAATGTTAGTTAAGTATTTTCACACCTTGATAATGTTGATTGATAATGGCTAGATTGAAGCATACTCTGCTACTTTAATTTATAACAGTTCAAAATCCTTTGAAATATTATTACCTAGACTTGTCATTTTAGGTTTAACAGAAACTATATTGGCTGCCGCATTTTCGAGAATTGGTCACAAAGTTCTACATTTAGATAGGTATAGCTCTTATTATAGATCTGGGTTAATAAGTAAGTAAATGATGTGGGAGGCCTTCATTTTGATAAATGCCAACATGTGCTCTTTGGAATTATCTATAGTTAATTAATGCATAGAAATTGATGATGGTATCATTACCAGTAGGTCTAACCTAACTATCTAAACTGATTTCCTCATATTGGTTGCTCAACTTACAATATAGGAACACAAATTGAAATGTTTTGAATTTGTTTCCAGGAATGACCATTACAGTGATTATTGGGCTTCATTTAACTTAAAAGGATTTGAAAAATTGTCAGAGCCTCCAGTAAGTAGATTAATCCTTTCTGGCTTCTGACAAATTTTAATGAAAAATTGTTGCCTTAACCTTACTGATTCCTTTTTATTCTTCAGAGTAAACTCGATTTTGACAATATTTTTATTGGAATGAAGCGGTTTTTGGTCTCTTATCGAGCAAATATTTGAAAGCCCAGTTTCAAAGGAGTACAGCCTCCTAAATAATAAAGGTACTTGCTGGCAGATCTCAAAAGAGGAATATGTTGATGTCAGAAAACAGCATTCTATTAAAGTAATTGCATCAGTTATATGTAATATAATAACATGTCAGCTTTGTATTAATTTTTTTATGCTATTTTGCAGCAGAAGAATGATGGCAAAAAAGAAATAACAGGTATTAAAGAGAAAATCAAAGATGGAGAAAGTTTAGTAGAAGTTCCTCAAGTTACCTCATTAGTCAACGATCTAAAGATAGAATATCATGTTCAGTAAGTACATATTGTCTACTTTATCTCGTGTGATAATATACTGAAATTTTCATTGAGAGCAAGTAAGTAAAGTAAATGTATTTAACAAATTAACTTTGTTCAGTCTTGTGAAAAAAAGCTAGGGGGAGAAATGTTTTTAGTCTGATTTCAAAAATCACCTATTTTGAAAATCATTTTGTATGCGATTCTTAATGAAGTTAAGTACTGTTAATTTCAGTTGTTTTCTAGACTTATCCATTAATAATCACATGCTTTAACTTCAGAGATAAACCGCTACCAGAACTATTGGAAAAACAGATACCTTTGCAGAATTTAAGCATTGGTCCAAAAAACACTGAAGGAACAAATGAAGCCAGTTCCACACAATTGCCAATCAAACCAGTATCGTTTCTGCCTTCAAAAGAGTTTGAATCATATAAACCAGAAGCAGATATTGAGTCCTTCACTCCTTCCAAGATTGTGGAATCTTTTAAACCACTTGATATAGTTGAATCGTTCAAGCCATTTGGGGCTTTAGGGTCGAGACAGTATTCAACAGATAGTTTAGAATCCTACGAACCAGCAAATATTGTTGAAACATTTAAACCATCTGAAAACTTGCCTGAAATTGTTCCAGACCATGGAAATACTGTGGATAAGATATTATGTGACACCTCAAGTGAACATGTGTCACCCTCAGTTGCAGCCCCATGTCAAGCTCAAGCTAAATCCAGTATTGAAGAGGTATTGCCTGTAAAACAAAGAAAAGTCTGGACAAAGGAAGAGATTGAAAAAAGTTGGAGGTCTTTTAATCTTGATTTATCACCAAAGGTAAATGTTCAAACTGATATTCATATTGAATTGTCATTTACATAAGAGCTTTTCTGACTTTGAGCTCAGAAATTATTAAATCCATGGAACCTCTGAGAACATATTTTATTTCAATATTAGGACTTGCTTGTTCTGTCATGGAATGAAAATAAGTGGTCATAAAAGCTGACCAAGTTTTACTATTGAAATTGTCTTATTGTTTTATGAATCGTAAGGACTACTGAATGACTGAAGTATTGTATATAGATGTCGACTTCTTAAGAAAATCTCTTACTCCTTTTCTATGTCATTGTGCAGAAATTCCTTCCTTTTTTACTAGGTCTTCACTACTGCTTTCAGATACAATCATTACTCTTTAGAATATTCTTGTTGACTTCATGACTTGAAAGAGTTCACTTATTTGCTCATACACCTAAGGTCCAATATTGGAAAGTTAATCACTAACATAATAAAGGATTGTAGCCAGAAAAAATTGAATAGTGTCTCATAATTGTAAAGCAAATGAAACTCTCAATATCATATCCCATGTTGGGTCATATTGATATTATCATGAGGGTTGAATATAAAAGTTTTTACAATAGAATCAATTAATATGATATTGGATGGAATTAAAGGAAATTTAGGGTGACCACCGTCCACCACTGTAGCTACAACTCTGACTAGCTGATTGTTTATTTGACATGCTTTGGCAGATTAAGATGACTTGCAAAAAATCAATATATTTGTTACTTTATATAGGTATTATATAGTTCTGGTAAAATGGTAGAATTGTTGATATCATCTGATGTGGCTAAATATTGTGAATTCAGAACTGTTAGTAGAGTACTTACTCAAAATGACTCTTTAATAGAGAAGGTAAGGAAGGCTTGTCACATATTAATAATAGTAGCCTGTGTCGAAAAAAAAATTGCTTCTGGGCAGATTCTCTGTTTCCAATTAAGGAATCTGTGACTAAGTCTTCAATTTTGTAAAAATTGAGAGAATAAGAACCTTTTGACTCTTTCTTGTTTTAATAAATTTTGATAATTCACATTAAACTTCATAATTTCAAGTCTTTGACTTTGTTTGATAAAACTTGTCATATGACTAGCAATAACAGCCAAATTTACAGATCAACAAGACTATTTAGTGAATTATTTTTTATAACTATTTAATTATTTTATTTCCATTTAGATACCTTGTTCAAGAGCTGATGTATTCAGTAGTAAAGATGTGTCTATGTTAGATAAAAGAAAATTAATGAAATTTCTAGAATGGTGTGCTGGATATCATAAAAATCCTGAAGAATATAAAGGTACTATTAATAAAAGTTTATTATCTGCAATTGAGCTTTTCTAATCAATGTTCTTTTTGTACATTTAAAGTAGTCAGAGGATCTCTCTTTTCTTGGTACTACCAAGTTTCATTATCCCTATATGTGTAGAAAAGCATGTTAAAATCCATTTCTTTTCATTTCCTTTCTAGAATATGTAGATAAAACTTTTCACGAAGTGTTAATATCAAGAAATTTGTCAGAAAATCTTCAGAATATAATACAGAATGCCATTGCCATGGTAACAGTGGATGATTCTGTAACAGAGGTTAGATCTTTTTATCACTTATTTAAAAGGTTTAATTTTACTGTTTACATCAGATACAATTTGTGATATTATCCAGCATGCAATAGTAAACCTTCATTACTCTGCATGTTATGTATAGAATCACA